CTGCACAGACATGGAGCTGGCACCATTAACTAACACAACCTGAGAGCTGGCACCTCCTAACCTACACCACCAGGGAGCTGGCACCACCACCTAAATCACACAATTTTAGAACTGGCACCCCGTACATCACACAACCTGGGGCTTAATAACAAAAAAGGTGAGCTAGCACCCGCTATACCACACAGTCTGGGACCTGACTCCCCCAGCTCAGACAACCCCGGAGCTAGCACAACATACACTACACAAATTAGATGCTGGCACACCCAGCTCAAACCAAGTTGGAGCTGGCATCCACAAAACTATAAAACGTGGAAGTAGTTCATCTAACCTGGAGCTGATATCCCTAAGATATGATAAGCAGGGACTTGCACCCACAAAGTCACTACGTTAGGGAGCTGGCGCTCTCTAAATCCCTTAACATTGGAGCAGGCACCCCCCTAAATCACAGAATCTAAAAGCTGACATCTCTACTGTAGTCTGCTACTCCCTGAATAACAACACAGAAGCCTGGTGACCCAAATTAACATAATGTGGGATATTGCACATATAACTTGTAAAACTGCACTTTTACTGGTGATTTCATCGTCAAGATAAGTTTAACTGTTTTAAATACTCATATTTGTGTTAAGCGAAGTCTCCAGAGTATAACAGTACCCCCATGTACTGGTTTTATGGTTTTTTGGAAAGTTACAGGGTCAATATAGTGCTTGCCAGATTGGTTTGCTGGGTCTGTGTTGCCTTTTGAGACCATATGGTAGCCAGGAATGTGAAATAACCCCATCCTGGCATACCATTTTCAAATTAAGACAACCCAGGGTATTCCAAATTTGGTATTTCCAGTTTTTGTAGTAGCCATTTAGTCACAAACGCTGGCCAAAGTTAGCATTTTTGTTTTTTATAAAAAAAAAATATATTTTCAATTCATATTCTATATATAACAGAAGCTTGGCACTCACTATTTAACTAATGAAACAAACTCATTACCCTGGTGCAATTTGTGTATGATAAATAGTCCAAAAATATGAGAGTGCACTTCAAGGGATTTTTCAATTAAAATATTGGTGCTTGAGAAAGACCCAGAGAGGGGTCGAAACGTTGATCCCGACTTTGGATACGTTTGCTTGTATGGAATAAAGGGCACCAATATTTTCATTGAAAAGTCCTTTGAAGTGCACCCTCATTTTTTAGGAATATATATATATATATTACGCACACATACTTTTATTTCCTATATATGAATAATATATTATAACTAAAGCATTTTATAATATTATACATATATAATGCATATGATTTCATTATAAGTGTATTTTGAGATATACCGGTATGTATATATCTCAAAGTACACTTATAATGAAATAATTATAATATATTACTAAATGCTTTTATTTTATCATATATAATATATATATATATTTTTTTTTTACTTTTTAGCAACCTGGGGGACTGTCTGACAGCTCAGATAGTCCCCCTGCTTGCAGCTCCTATACTCCTACTGTGGCGATGTGATCATGGTGATCACATGGCCCTGGAGGGCCGGGGTGGCTGGAGCTGCTGCTGGGGTCTCTGGCAGTCCCCCCCTGACCAGGATTGCTGATCCAGGTAAGTCCTGGGCTCCTAGTTGCCGTGGTCCTTAACGACCATTTTTTGTCGGACGCACCTAGTGCGTCCATGGCCGTTAAAGGGATATATATATATATATATATATATATTTATATTTATATTAAAGGACCACTATAGTGCCAGGAAAACATACTCGTTTTCCTGGCACTATAGTGCCCTGAGGGTCCCCCCACCCTCAGGGTCCCCCTCCCGCCGGGCTCTGGGGAGAGGAAAGGGGTTAAAACCTACCTTTCTCCAGCGCCGGGCGGGGAGCTCTCCGCCTCGGATCCTCCTCCTCTCCTCCCTTTCGGCTGAATGCGCATGCGCGGCAAGAGCTACGCGCGCATTCAGCCGGTCTCATAGGAAAGCCTTTACAATGCTTTCCTATGGACCCTTGCGTGTTCTCACTGTGATTTTCACAGTGAGAATCACGCAAGCGCCTCTAGCGGCTGTCAATGAGACAGCCACTAGAGGATTGGAGGGCTGGATTAACCCATTTATAAACATAGCAGTTTCTCTCTGAAACTGCTATGTTTATAAAAAAAAAATAATGGGTTAACCCTATCTGGACCTGGCACCCAGACCACTTCATTAAGCTGAAGTGGTCTGGGTGCCTAGAGTGGTCCTTTAATATCAAAACACAGTTAGAATAAAATTACATATATATTTTTTACAGTTTATTTTTAATTATTATTTTTATAGTTCTATTATATACGTGTGTAATTTTACTCTAAGTGTATTTTTATATTAATATATGTATACATTAATAAAAAAAATGCACTTAGTATAACGTTATATATGAGATATATATACCATATATACTCGAGAATAAGTTGACCCGAATATAAGTCGAGACCCCTAATTTTACCCCCAAAAACTGGGAAAACTTATTGACTCGAGTATAAGACTAGGGTGGGAAATGCAGCAGCTACTGGTAAATTTCTAAATAAAATTAGATCCCCCAAAAATTATATTAATTGAATATTTATTAACAGTGTGTGTATATAATGAATGCAGTGTGTGTGTGTGTGTATATAATGCAGTATGTGTGTGTGTATGAGTGCAGTGTGTGTGTGTGTGATGCAGAGTGTGTTTTTGTGTGTGATGCAGAACCTTGGTGGGGGGGGGTGGGCATTTTTATTATTATTTTTTAATTATTATATTAATATTTTATTTTTATTTTATTATTTAAATTTTTATTTATTTTGATTTTTTTTCATCCCCCCTCCCTGCTTGTTAGCTGGCCAGGGAGGGGGGTTCTCATTCCCTGGTGGTCCATTGGTATGGGCTGTGTAGGAGGGGGGCTGGCAGAGAGCTGTAACTTACCTTTCCTGCAGCTCCTGTGAGCTCCCTTCTCTCTCCTCCGGTCCGGTCAGCTCCCCTGTAAGTCTCGCGGTCTGAGTGCCGCGCGGAGCGTTGACACGGTAATCCGTGGCAACGCTCTGACCCCACGGCTCTCGCGAGACTTGCAGTGGAGCTGACAGGGGAGCTGACCGGACCGGAGGAGAGAGAAGGGAGCTGACAGGAGCTGCAGGAAAGTTAAGTTACAGCTCTCTGCCAGCCCCCAACAGGACTGCTGGGCTTGTAATGAGAATCGGGTATCAGATTATTACTACTAAAGGAATTTGGGTTTGCATGAGGGATTACATGGTTGCATGTCCCACACGGGACTAAGCTGGCACACACTGGATCTTGAGCTGGGTCATATAATCAGCCATTACGTCGGTTAGGTACTACATTTGAGTTGCTGTTTGACTGGGCGTTTGTTTCTTTTACCTTTTTATGTTTGTTACTGTTACCATTTTGTTTGATATGCCTATCCTGTATAATTGTAAATGTAGTCATACAGTATACAGGTGCAGAATGATTCTTACTATTATTGTTTTTTAAACTTCTATTTAGAGTTGGATAGCATTTGATACGTTAAACGTGGCCACCATATAGCTTTTTAAGAAATACCGTGAGATACATCTAATATATCTTGAGAGCTTGTATTGATATATAAATCAAATTTTATTGTTGCCACTTTAATTGTATTTGAAAAAGCTTTATAAATAGCAATACTTTATTTTGCTCTAAACACTATATCTGTGTGTGTTTGCAGTGACACACACATCACATTTTGAATACTTTGTACAGACAATGACGTTAATGCAGATAAACAAAGTATTGCTCTATAACTGTTTTATAGCTAGAGGGAGACCAACAAAATTATTCATTAAAGAGATTTTATTCACTAAAGCGTAAATTGTTCTGAAACGAAAAATGGTTTATAAAATTTCAGGGAAAAGTTCTGATTTGGAAAAATTCTCCTACTAATCACAGTTGTTCTTTCAGGAATTATTCTGTCATACAGACTAGAATTCTGTGTAAGTGAATGATATCCACAACTTAAATTTCCAGATTTCAATGTGATTTTTAAATTTTAGGCCAAAATAGTCCGTTGCATTTACAGTTTGGCTGTTTTTGGCCTAAAATGTTAAATTCACGAGGGATTTACTTTGTATACCTTGCAATACACACTTAACCCCTTCACTTCCAAGCAGTCTCCCCTTCCCCCGTCCCCCCAAGTGTTTGGGGTATTTTGTATAATAAAGCTTGCCTTCAATACACCTGGAATACAGAGAGAACATGAAGGAGGATAAAAGGAAAATTGGCCACAATTTTACTTTGGCTCTATCAACAGCAACATCATGCTTTGATTTGCAGTGACGTACGTTAAATGGACACTCTAGCTTCAGCTTATTGAAGTGGTTATGGTGCCAGTCTCCTTTTTTTCCAGAGTTTCATTTTAATTATTTGCTGGACTGATTAAAGTGAAGCTTGTAGTTCTGTGGTCACAGTGTGTTCTTAAGAGGAACTTGCAGGTGCTGCTTCCCTCTGAGTATTTGCAAGTCCAATGAGTGACCTGTCTATGTGACCATATTTCTTAAACAGCGAATGAGTAGTCTCAGGGAATGTCCGTAGTTGAATGAGACTACTCTGGCTGATACATTCATAGCAGGTACACATACATAGGAATTTGCAGGATGTTTGGAGTTGTTTTTCTGACTAGGTTACATTTAAAATGAAAGTAGGACAAGAGGGAAAGAATTCAAGCAAAGTTCCTGATATTATTTATAGTAAAGGAGAGCACAAAATGTGTTAATAGATTTATTCATAAAATATTTTACTAGGATGGATACATTGAGATTTCTCTCGTCTTCAAGTATGTCCTGGATCCATAAAACATTACATTGTTACAATAGGATACAATATACAAACTCGCTCGCTCGCTCGCTCTCTCTCTCTCTCTCTCTCTCTCTCTCTCTCTCTCTATCTATCTATAACACATAACAGGTAGAGATGTCGCGAACTTCTCGCGAACGGTTCGCCACGAACTGTTTGTGGCGAACTCCGGTCAGCTGACACATCCCGGCCAATCTCCAGCAGACCCTCCCTCACAGACCCTCCTACTTCCTGGACAGCATTCATGTTGAAGCTGCCTTCAACATGGATGCTGTCCAGGAAGTAGTAGGGTCTGGGAGGGAGGGTCTGCTGGAGATTGGCCGGGATGTGTCAGCTGACCGGAGTTCGCCACGAACTGTTCGCGAGAAGTTCGCGGACGGTTCGCGACATCTCTAATAACAGGTGCATTCTGTGCTGAGGTATATTGCCATAGATTTCTTAAAAGATTTTAGAGTGAATGAAGATTTGACTGTGACAAGGTAATGGCTGTATTGTAAAAGCAAACCAAGTGGATAAAAAGAGAACAATACAGCCTCAATATATATAAGAAGGCTTTTCCTAATGTAGCCTAGCCTAAATTTTTAAATTCACTTTGAAAACCCAGCAGTTCTCATGTAAGTGAACAACCCTGCAAGTGTATAAATGAATTGGGTAACCTAGTAATGTGGTACTCTGTCTTTAGAGGGACACTATAGGCACCCAGACAAATTGAAGTGGCTTTGGTGCAGTGACCCAGTCCCCTTAACCCTGCAATGTAAATCATTGCAGTTTTAGGGAAATGGCAATGTTTACATTGGAGGGTTAAGATGGCTTCTAGTGGCTGTCTCCCAGACAGAGGCAGAGTGACATTAATGGGTTGGATGTAAATGCATATCCAATCTGTACACTGAAATTCACGTTTTTGCATTCCGATTTATAAAAAGTGTTCCATACATCCTTGATTTTCTTTAGATTCTGAATGCTGATGAATCTCTGTAATATTGGCAAACTCTCTATAGGCAGCAGGCTGTATTGTAGTTAGCGCAGGCCTTGTAGAGGGTGCATCAATGCATTTGCCTGCGAGTCATGTTTGGATTTCATTAGGTGCTTTCTGCCTTGAAACAGGCTGTTGCTGATCAGACTCGCTGAAAATGTACCAGTGTTTTATTAGGAGGTAGACCAAAAATCTTAAACAAGGACTCAATTGTATTAAATAAACGTGAACTTTCCTTATGACTGCGATAAATCCTTCCAAAGTCTGCAGCGAATCGAAGGAAGATTTCCCTTTTTTCTGACCACGAGCCCAGCGTGACAGAATAGTTGCCAAGCTGTTATTTTGCTAATTGCTGAACTCAGCTGCTATTAATCAAGGCACAATCCCTGCCCATTTCTATATTTTTTTATTTTTTGTAGTAAGGATATGCTTGTTTTTACCAAGAGCATAAAAGGGGAACGATTCTGGATTTGCAGGGAGAGACATTGAAAGAGATAATGTACTGTAGTCTATTTTCAGTAATATTATCAAGGAAACTTTTTTTTTAAATTAATTCGATTTAAAACGATTCCTATTTGTAATAAGGCAATTTCACACCAGTTAAAGAAGAGCAGTCACAGATTAAACCTTTTTAATCCTGAAGGAAAAAAAAGTGTTTGTTATTTATTTATATATTTGTTTTATTTTTATTAATTTTGTTTTTGTATCAATTAGCAATTTTTACCAACAGACATGTGAAAAGTGGAGACTTAAAACAGTGTGTTGTGGTACTCATGGGAAATGCAGTAATTATCATGAAATACCCCTGTGTGCCTTTTCAAAAGGTGATTATAATGTCTTAAATGGGACCTTTCTAGTGTAAAATGCTCTTTTGGACCCCCTTCCAAACCTGTTAAATAAGTTGTTTACTTACCTGGAATCCGGCGCTAGGCAAATCTCTCGGTGCTGACTTCCACGCCCCTTCCAACATCACAGGGGCCACTCATAAGTTACACTGACTTAGAGCACAGCCATCATGCGGGGAGGGATGGACTAGAGAGGTAGGGAGCACTCATTTAAAAAAAAAAAAGAAAGAAGGTGCATAAAAAATATAAATAAATAAAAAGGTTGCTCAGAGCAATGGAGGGAGGAAGCACAATATGGATGGGAAGGACTGATAACAGAAGTATTTTATGCACAGAATTGACATTAGCAGCCTGGAATAGAGTTCTGGGCTTCCAGTTGTGATGTGTATTGGGGTGCCATTAGCCCCCAGCACACAATTACAAATATCTCAGTATGTTCAATGTTTTAAGCAGAAACACTGCACATACTAACTATGACCACTCTAAATCACAGAAGTGGTCATGGTGGTTGCAGTTTTCATTAATTAAAATACATATAAAAAGTAAACCGCATATAAAAAAAAAAAAAAGATATTGAAAGATAATTGCACATAAAGGGTGCCAGACTAGTAATACAGATTGTAAAAATACGTTAAATTGCTTCACATTCAGAACTAATTAATCTGGATTGAAGACAGTACATTTTACCCTGTTTGTTTTCCCACAATGCTACGCGATTTGCTGTTGTCTGCATTCTGGGCTTGAGCGCTTGTTACGGGCCAACCAGTATTTATGACTGCCCCTTTAAAATCCACAAGGATTCACTAGCAGATGAAAGGATTCATGTTCTGTGTTTTGAAGTGGAAATATGTGTGCAAGCTGCCATAAAGCATGATGTCAGATCTGGAAAGATAGTGGAGCATAATTTAGTTTAAAAAAAAAAAAAATAGTGAGAGAGAGAAATGGTAGACATATTGTGCAGTCCTTTTGACAGACATTGCAGCTGATGCTAAGAGCTGTTGGCAGGACATAGGAGCACAGAACCAGGAGATTTTACTTTTTTTTTTTTTCCTCCTATGGATCATCTTCATTTACATATAGCAGAATAACAATCCAACAAGCTAATGTTTTGATGGATTTCTCGATTAAAAATGGGATTGTTACAAAAGGTGTTGCTCTCCATGGCAGATATGTAGAGCTATGTTTCATTGGAAAAAGTGGCATAATTGCCATTTAATTAATGCCTGCGCTTGCGTGTGAAATAATGCACAACAGAAATTGTTGTGCAAAGCAGAAAAGTGATGTCAATATTGTGTAGGAAATGACAGTGTATAAAAACAAGATCAAAACTGTTACAATTTAAGTTAATTTATTGCGTTAAAATTCCCCGTGCTATGCGCCCCTTATTCTGTTATTGTCTGCTCTGTATAAAATGTGATTGTGAGGGTAGAAAGTTGCATTTGGGCCTCTTTATGTTCTCACACATGATGAGATCATGTGACATTATTTATTAAAGGGATCCTATAGTGCCAGGAAAACAAGGCCATTTTCCTGGCACTATAGGTTTAGTTCCCTCGCCCCCACCCTTCCCCCCTCTCGCAGGGCTGAAGGGGTTTAAAGCCCCTTAAGCCACTAACCTGAATCCAGCTCCGATGTCCCTCGGGACTGGATCAGGCTCCACCCACGCTACTCGCTTGATGGCTGACGGTGGTGGGGGAGGAGCGTGGGTGGAGCCTGATCCAATGCCCGCGCATGAATTAGACCTTACCTTCCCATGGAAAATCTGACGCTGGAGGTCCTAATGCGGAGCGTTAGGACGTCCAGCGTCAGATAATGGACCAAAAGTCAGTTTGGATTCCAGAAGCGCCCCCAGTGGCTGTCTGATAGACAGCCACTGAGGGTAGACCTAGAGCTGCAATGTAAACTTTTCAGTTCTCTGGAACTCCACTGTTTTACATTGCAGCACTAGGTGCGAAAGGTACACAGCACCCAGACTAGTTCAATGAGCTAAAGTGGTCTGGGTGCCTATAACATATACCGATATAACCAGATCATGTGAAGTATTAATAATAAAGCCATTATTTTGTATGACACTGTGTGGGTTTACACACAATACGTATTAATTAAGATTAACAGCATCAACACATAAAAATACAGTTTTAAATTGTACAAGGCTACTTAAAATAACTTATCTCCGCAAACAAATATGGTATTCGGTTCCACCATATGGCTATATTGTGTTAAGCTCACCACTACGTCACAGAACCCCAATATCGGTGGGTCCTGCAATAATTCCAACGTGGGAGACAAATCAAATAGCGCTAGCGCTAAATAAGCTAAAGTGAATTTGTGTTTTTCAATAATCTGTTGTAAGAGCGTTATGAATATATATTATGCAAACCGAATGTGTTAAAATAATGCAGTGTCAAAACTAAACAATGAAATTGATAGTGCTTTAATGTATACACAATGCATATTATATATCTGCTCTATAACAAATGAAAATTATAATTAAAGAAACATTACTATCCAAAACTTCCTTAAATTTACTTCTAAAGGGGCCTCTGAAGCTGGCCACACAATACGGCCATATGGTGGAACTGAGTCATCTTTGTTTGTTGAGATAGGGGATTTTAAGTAGCTTTATAGAATTAAAAACAATATCTTTAATTGTGCGCTGTTCTTTAATCTGTATTGTGTATAAATGTAGTTACGATGGCAGCACCATTCCTGTGAAATGCGTGTTCCAGGTGTGTCCCCAAGTATGGGTTTAGTCCAGTGGGATCAGTCTTGAAGTTAAAAGGTATGCATTGTGACATATAAAGGATAAAGCAGACAATTCTGTGTGTTGTACTGATTGATGTCAGTCTGATACCCATCCGAGTAAAATATCATTTTGCATGTTTAATTTAGAAGATAATATTATTAGTAGTATTATTATTGGCATTTATATAGCATCAACATATTCTGTAGTGGTTTACTAAGATGAGGTTGTGAAGGCCCTGCTCAAAGGAGCTTACAATCTAATATGGAAATTATATGCAAACTCTACTGCTATGGCTGCATTATTTAATAATTTTGTTCATTTAAAAAAAGAAGATAATGTCTCACATTTAAATCAGCTAATTTTTCAATTCAACAACTGGCATGCTTTATTTACGCTGATGGTTTAGCCAATGATCCAGCCCTGCACTGCATAGCTTAACTAAGTGGAGCTAACAGAAGCTCCTTGTAGGAGCTTCCAGTTCCAAAGTTGCCAAACCTCTCTAAAGGGTTTGACTACTTATTATTGGAGGGGGGTATAAGTAATGTAAGTAGTAAGACTGTAGTGGTTATGGTGCTTGGAGTGTTTCTTTAGGGGAGGCTGACCAGAAACCAAGAGAGGCAATGGAAGCTGTACTGGAGGATGTAAAACTGTGTTATATGATGTACTGGTGATGGCTGTAAATTGACCAGAAATATTACAAATATTATACCAAAATAGCTGAACAGTAAAATCTCTTGTTTATTTTTCATGATCTTTAGGATCTTTTAAAATCTT